GGGAAAAGGCCACTGTGATTTGTCAAAAAAATAGCTTGCATTACAAAGTTAGCTGATTAAGTTGCTGAGACCAGAGTGGCTGAGTGCAAGTGCATTTCTATTGTGAAATCATTGTCCTGTGTATGACATTTGGCGACCCCAGGACCCTAACCATGACCTTAGAACCCCTTTTATAGGTGTTCTTAACGTATCAGTTTGAGATATGAAGGATAGGGCAGTGGGAACAGGTATGAGCCTGATTCAGCTGAAGCTGATGTGTCAAGCTCCATTCCTCTGCCTTTCACTCTCGAAATAAGGGTATGAGACTGTCACTGGGTCAGTACCCCTCTTGTCACTGGGGTGGGACCCTCAAGGGTCCATCTCAGTACCTTTAGTCAGGGAACATAACTGAACCATAATCCACTGAAATGATATGTTCTAAGCTGTACTGACTCCACACACCCCGTCTCGTCTCCAGGCTTTTATTTTACTGTTCTGTTTTAAAACATTCGGTTATGAAAAGGTACAAATACGAACTTTTCACCTGGAAAAACTTACTTAAGGTTCACAATCAGACCTTAAAACCACTGTTGAACCTTTGAGGGAACATTTACACTGTTTGTACCTTGATGAACGAAAAATGTACCTGAACAGAACCTTTATTTCTAACAGTGTAGAATAGTCAGTATGATTACTCTGACTTCTCTATTACTCATAAAGAGAGTCGCTCGCACTGCCTACTGCTACTTTATACCTGGATAAAGCACATCTCTACTGTTAGCCCACAGTAACTTGGCTATTGCAGTCAGTTAGCCAGCTAAAATGAATAATTAAGATATTTCTGTAAATTAAATTGTATACAATGCTCTTATTTTTTCCTGTTAAAAATATCTATATTTGCACAAAAAAGAATATGATTGTTTGGTGAATGGTGAGAGGGGGGCCTCTGAGTAAGATGTTGAGAAATGGCCCTGCATGCTGTCTATAGGATCCTATTTTAAGTAAAACGTTGTCTATTTATAGTTTGACTAACTATACATATCGTCCCCTTGGAATTATAAGGTTCTATCTGTGTTCTGAGCAGTTTTGAGATATTGAGCTTCAAAGATTTTGGATTCCAAATAGCAAAACTGTTATGTGAACGAGTTTCTTTCATTCATAAAATGACAGACACCCTAAATGTGTTCTAAACGTACAATATCAAAATTTTAACAGAATCATAAATTCTTTTTTTTGGAACAGGTCCAATGCAGATAGAACCTTCTAATCCTAAGAACTCACTTTTGCTTAGAGTTATAAGGTTCTAGCTGGCAAAACATGAGAACAAGCGATAATTTTCAAGGAACACAAACAGTTTATACTTGTAATTTGTTTTAAAACATAAAATTAGCGTTACAACAGAGTGTCCATATTATCAGAAAGTTAAATTAAATGCTTTCTATGACATTTTTATGACATTTATTTGTATTATTTATTTAGTTGTAATGATATTTATTTTTTATTTTAGGTCAAATCATCTTTTTCTTATTCTAAAAGCATTGCAGATTAAGTATAAAGGTCAGTGCTAAATATTTTGTCCAGTGCAGAGTTCAGTTTTAGGTAGGAATCTTTATTATTAGTAGTCTAACTATTAGTTTAAGTGTCCTTTAGTAAGACAGCAACCAGCTAATAAACTGTCCCAGCAGGTCAGTGTAGCAGGTCAGTATTATTGCAGTATGACGTTTTGTTTTATATCAGAAATGAGACCCTAATGAGACAAAATTTCTTATTTTGGGAGAAAGAAGAAAAAGAAAAGATGGATGAATGAATAAAATTGATGTTTATGCTGTAATTAAGACCCCATTAGTCCAAATGTTTACCATTTAAAAACATTTAAGGCTTAACGTTTATAAAATTAAAGAGATGTAAGAAGACAGGCAGAATATCAGCAACATGTTTTCACGTTTCATAAAGTTTTGTAAACTTTTCCCACCATCACTGAGCAGAGCGGCGACATGACAAAGAAGCAGAATCTGATTGGTCCTCCTGTGTGTATTCAAAGTGCTGATTGGCTCGCAGATAGAACCATATAGAACTAAGTCGGAGTTTGATTTTGGAGATTGACCTTTTGTTTACTGGATAAAGAGTCCAAAAATGCATACAACTTAAAAAAAAACACCTTACATTATGTTTATAAGCTGGCACAGAATAGGAATAAGTGAATAACTCAATTCCAAGAGTATATTATTGCCACTGAACTCCATTTTTGTCTTTTTTCATTTGAAAATGCCTGTTGCTCTTTACATTGTGTGTAAATTTCATAATGAATGGACCAAAAGAAACGTCCCAAAATGACTTGGAAAAATGTCTGGTTCCATTGACTTACATTGAAAGTAAAGTATGTTTTTTCCTTCCCCTGTAAAGTTACTATTTTAGAGAAATACAAGGTTTTGTTCTGACAGCAGTGATATGCAATAACTCTTAAATGTTACTGGCATTAATCCTTTGGCTTGTTTTTTTAGCCACGACTGCGCTAGACAAGCACAGTTATTCAGTAATCAATCATGCATTACACAATACTCAGTGCACACATGGACACTTGAAAAACAGTCACTGCATTTTATTTAAACAAGTTGCAGTTTCACCAGAGGTTTATTTGGATCTCCAGAGTAGCTCTGGTTTCACAAGCTCCCAGTACACTATTACACTGTGATCCTGTCTTCAGATGATGTTTGTGCAGCTGTTTTAGTGTAATACTGGCACCTTCACAGCTCTCGATTAAGGATAGGGTGTTACACTGTCAAACTCTATGTGCTATCTACAGGATTTAGATTGTAAAAATATAAATTATAATAAATAAAACTAAATTGATTAATTAATTTAAAAAAGGACTCCAGAAATGAATGAAGACTGCTGTGCCATTTTACGACAGGAATCCCCAAAATGTATAACCACCAACACGTCATTGCTTATTAAATTCAGTAAAAAATGACACTCACAACTACACAGATCAGGCATGACATTATGACCACCTCCTTGTTTCTATGCTCATTGTCCATTTTATCAGCTCCACTTACTATATAGGTGCACTTTGTAGTTCTACAGTTACAGACTGTAGTCCATCTGTTTCTCTGCATACTTTGTTAGCCCCCTTTTACCCTGTTCTTTAGTGGTCAGGACCCCCATGGACTCTCACAGAGCAGGTACTATTTGGGTGGTGGATCATTCTCAGCTGCTGGAGTTTTTAAACACCTCAGTGTCACTACTGGACTGAGAATAGTCCACCAACCAAAAATATCCAGCCAACAGCGTCCTGTGGGCAGCGTCCTGTGACCACTGATGAAGGACTAGAGGATGACCAACACAAACTGTGCATCAGCAGATGAGCTATCATCTCTGTCTTCACATCTACAAGGTGGACTGACAAGGTAGGAGTGTCTAATAGAGTGGACAGTGAGTGGAGACAGTGTTTAAAAACTCCAGCAGCACTGCTGCGTCTGATCCACTCAGACCAGCACAACACACACTAACACACCACCACTACGTCAGTGTTACTGCAGTGCTGAGAATGACCCACCACCCAAACAGTATCTGCTCTGTGAGGGTCCATGGGGGTCCTGACCACTGAAGAACAGGGGGCTAACAAAGTATGCAGAGAAACAGATGGACTACAGTCTGTAACTGTAGAACTACAAAGTGCACCTATATAGTAAGTGGAGCTGATAAAATGGACAATGAGCACAGAAACAAGGAGGTGGTCATAATGTTACGCCTGATCGGTGTATACATGTGTTATCTTACATGTAGTGTTTTTTAATGATTATCATGATAATATTGTAAATGGTGATAATAATGTTATATTGTTACATTTAATTTAAATTTGTTGTATTTTTGCATCAACACATCTATATTTTGTCCTTTTTAGCATCCTCTCAATGTTCAAATTAAAGAAAGTGAGCATAATTCATCAATTATTGAGCTCTATTCATGCCCAGTCCTACTCGGATGTTAAGACATATGCCTCTAATTGCATGGTCATTTTAGTTTTGGGGGTGGGGGTGAACTTTAGCCTACTTTCATCAAATTACAGAGCTCAAGAAACAAAATAAGTGGGCGTGCACATAATAATGAGTTAGGAGTAAGAGGGACGTGCACATGAATTAAGAATTATGCTTACATTCTTTAGTTTGAATATTAAAGGGATGCTTTAAAAAGGCTCAATATATGTGAATATAAATATAAGAAGGCATACTGATATAAAAATTTAACGTTTCTTTGTAAATTTATCACGATTTACAATATTATCATCATCAGTAATGTGTTGTTGGCGGTCTTGTTGCTTTACATATACAAACACACACAGAAAGAGAGAGACAGAGAGATTTAAGCATGTACATATGCACATATATATGTATATATACTTTGATATGTATACAGTAAACAAAGATATATATACAATGAACATGCCAAAGTTCATTTAATGTGAAAATTTATCTAATATATATCAATGTTTATTCCATATATATCAGAAGTTTATATATACATACGTATATATATATATATATATATATATATATATATATGTAAACTTCTGATTGGGTCCTTTTTAGCGTCCCCTCATTATGCAAATACATATAATTCATGTCCACGCCCTCCAAGCTCTTGAATATGAGCTTCTCTAATTACATGTCCAGTTCAGCTGTGGGGGTGGGGGTTAATTTTAGCCCACTGTCGTCGAATTACAGATCTCAAGGAACAGAATAAGACTGCGGCCTCTGTTTGTGTGGTAAAATGTATTGAAGGATTGCATAAGAACACGTGACTAAAATTAAACACAGATGGAATGCATGTAGTAGACACGTTGGGGGGGTGTGGATGGAAGAAACGTTGATATGAATAATTATGAATATTTAATTTATCACTAAACAAGGGTTACGCGACGAGGACGAAGTTCTTGTTCGAGTGTTCCCGTTCCACCTTAAATGCCGCAGCAGCGGCATTCGGGGGCCTCGGCCGCAGGAATGTAACTGCTGCACCGTTTAAGGTGGAACGGGAGAGTTCGAGCGAAACGCTGGCGAATAAGAAGCGAACTTCTAGCCTACACGCCCCTTTTCGTTACTTCACAGCTCTGTTATCCGTTTAGGAAGCATTCCTGCCACAAAACTCCTAAGAATGCAGCGCTGAGGTTGATAATGTTTAATCTGTAAACAGTAAAAGGCGCTTTAGCTACAGCGCTCTCTCCCTCTGTCTCTCTCTCTCTCCCTCTCTCTCTCTCTGTTTCAGCAATGGCGAGTGCAGCAGCAGCAGCAGCAGCAGCTCCAGCGCGCTCCGCAGCAGCCGCGCGCGCGCCACGTCTCGAGGTAAAAAAGCTCGCGCCGCTCTCTTCATATAAATACCGCTCGTAGCAAACATAACGGTCGGCGGCTTTGCCTCACAGAACGCCGGCGCTTTTACCTTCGAGATTAGGCGGATTAGTGAAAGCTTTCCCGGCGTGTTTGTGTCCCAACACTGTCCTCAGTGAGGCCGGGAACCCTTCTTTTCTCTCTGACCGTTTTTGTGTGTAAAATAATGTGCGGTGTCTGAATCTTTCGGCTCTGTATTTCGGTTACGTTACGTTAGCCTGCGCCGCGTTTAGCCGCTTGTTTTCCACACATTTCGATTTTTTTTTACCTCACAAAAGACCTTCGGATGTCTTGCGAGGTGATGTACCCACGTGGTGTTCATCTAGAGGCATCATATAGATAGAAAAGACCGTTAAATAGGTTAGGAAGCTATATTTTTCACGTTATTCCACTCACTGTAATGTTAACGTTATGCTAGTGAGGAGAACCAACCTAGTTAGGCTATTTTTAACGCTGTTAGAACACACTGCTTGAGTGCAGTTCAGTTCAGTACGTTACGTGGACAGATTTCAACGTCCATCAAAGAGAAATTACACCATTTTTCCAAAATTTCTGAATAACTCAGCCCCTGAGATGTAAACGGGGTCATTCAGAGAGGTTTGGTGTGTGACGGTTCACTGTAGACTCATATTTCTTTACAGTGGTGGTGATAGGAACCAGGCGTCCTGGTGTCTACAATACAAGTATATAGCCATTTTATTGGCTATCCAGAATAATCAGTGAACCTAAATGTGTATTCTGAGTTTTTATATGTGATCTTGATAATGTTAGAATAGTGGAAAATTTGGAAAAAATACGTTTTTTTTTGGGTAATTTGCATTACAATGCCCTGCATGGATCCTCCACCAAGAATGGATTAAAATAAATTGATTAAATTACAAAATATAAATTAAATTAAAATATTTGAAGACAAAACTTCACTTTAGAACTGTCATAAAACAATATCTTAGACATCAGGCAGTGAATTCGTAACCATTTCATGTAGTAACTTTCTGTGAGGGAGCTTTTAGAGGTGGACGTCTGGTTCCTCTCACCACCGCTGTGAACATTTCTGGGTCAGCAAGTTTCTCTACAACGGAGCGTTTCACACCAAACCACTCTGGATGATTTTGTTGCTGTATTACCCATTTAATTATACAGAAACTTTGAAAAAGTCAGTGGAGTTTTCCTGTAAAAGCTGTAGTTTCATGCACCATTCCACTCATTGTGAGGATAATGTTATGCTAGAGAGGAGATGCAGCCAACATAGGCTATTTTTAACGTTAGAAGACACAGAGTGTGCTTTCATTACTGGAAAACGATACGTGTACAGTACATTTCAGTGTCCATTACGCTCTCAGCGGTACTGCTTTAAAATAACCATACATGTTCTTGCATTAATTATTTGAAGTCAAGCCTTGTAAATAGCTGTGAATAGTGCCACGTTGAATGTGGAGAGAGTCTGCGCCTCACAGTGTGGAAAAAAAGTGTTGAATTTGAGTTTCTTTCTTTCCAGGGTGAAGAGGAGGACCTCACATGCAATGATGTGTCCAACAGCATCCCCAGTTTTAAGGTAACATCCTATTCCATGTGTTTTCTACACTGTAAGTGCCATCCTGTACTAGAAGAGCTCTAGAAGTTATTCCATTGCTTTCAAACAAGATCACTTTCTTCTAGGATGTGCCCGTGTTGCATTCAAACAACATAATATTGATATCGTAAAAACTGATAACTGAGTTTACAGTGTTGATAAGTATCAGTACTTGCCTGCAGCGGCATCATTTTGACGTTTCAGCGGTGTACCCAAATGATGAAAAATGACCCTCCTCTCCAGTGAACACAAGGGGTTCCCTGTTAGTTTCCCGCTCCTCACTGCATCCAAACCTAAACGTCCTCCTGCAGGAAACGCTGACGGCAGCGAGACAGGATTCTTCGAGGAGATCTTTAAGATGCCATATTGTGAGAAAGTCCACCTGTGAGTTTTTTTTATGGGGTTGGGATTTTGGGTTCCATTCCTGAAATGCACACCCCACCTTTCAGTTTGTAGGGACCTGGTCTCTGGCTAAAGGTCCTGGGTTGAGTATACAGAGAGTCCACTTTCTAAGATCTCTGTAAGCCCTGTCAATCAAGCTTCCTCTCTGTGTTCTCCCTCCCTCCCTCTCTGTGACTCAGGTATGTGATTAGAGGACAGGAAGCGACAGCTTTCACATCACCTTTGTCACACTATCTGGGTAGTCTGTAGGAATGCGCAGTCACAAGTCATTATGCAAAGCCATGCCTCCCATCCTGTTTCCTCGGCAGTGAATGACTGTATAGGGTTGTATTGTGATAGATACATATGTAATGTACAGATATACATTCATATGCAAAAGCTTAAAAACTCTTGGATAAGTTTTTGTCTCCTCAGGCATTATGATATGTGCCTCTAATTGCCAGGTTAGCTTGGGGGTGGGAGTTAACTTTAGCCTACTGTCATCAAATTACAGAGCTCAAGAAACAAAATAAGGGGGTGTGCAGATGAATAATGAGTTAGGAGTAAGAGGGGCGTGTACATGAATTAAGAATTATGCTTACATTCTTTAGTTTGAATATTAAAGGGATGCTTTAAAAAGGGGTCAGTATATGTAAATATAAATATAACGCTGTAGTCGGAGGAAAACCTCGTATCTCCAAAATGGGAATTTTACAGGAGAAGGAAAACACCTACTTTACTTTTACTGTAAGTCAATGGAACCAGACTTTTTTCCAAATCATATTTGGTCATTTCTTTTAGTCCATTCATAATGACATTAACTTACAATGTAGAGGGTAATGGGTATTTTCGAATTATGTCAAAAATGGAGATACAAGGTTTTCTTCCGACAACAGCGATAAATAGCCATGTTGAAATAAAAATGTAATAAAATGGAATTTAATTTAACAATATAGCATTTTGCCACGATTTACAATATTATCTATCTATCTATCTATCTATATATATATATATATATATATATATATATATATATATATATATATATAGATGTATTTTTATATACATGTAGATTTGAATACGTACTCTGTTTTGTTGATTTTCCAAGTCAAGATAAGTTAACACATCCTTTATAGGGTATTTTCCAGCAATATATTGTGCACAATCTCTATTTATTTGCCAAGTTCAACATATTGGAAAGAAATTAACGTAACATACATAATGTTTCCAAAATGTTAAATTCAGTAAATATATTTATTAAATTATATATTTGCACATGAAAATGTGCAGAAATGTGTTCTCTGTATTGGATGTGTACTTATTTCCACTTACAAAATCAACATGTAATTTGACTCCCAAACTTTTGCATAAGACTTTAGATATAATAAACAATATATCATGAATAATTAACTTTTTATTTTTACTTAATTAAATAAGGCATGTATGGTTGGAGTAAAAAATGAATAAGATGTATATTAGCATTGAATCAAAGAAATGTGGAAACAAAAGCAGAGGATATTATGTCTCATGTTACACAGTGTGCTGTTGTTTGTCGTAACAATGTAAAATGTTTTGAAAATCGTTACAGTGAGACAAATTATATATTAGTATACTTTGAGGCAGTGCCTAAGTATAGCTTATGTGTGGGAAACACTGCAGATGTGACATTTCAGTAAATAGAGTCACAGGGAAAGTCAATATGAGAAGAGCTGATCCAAAAAAAAAAACAGTTTACAGTAATTTTCTGTACTGTGCTTTTCATCCATCATAAAGCTGGACTGACTGCAGGGTTAATGGTCATCCAGGGCAATCGCAAGGTTCAACTTGGATCAAGTTCACCTTTAGATCAAGGTGTAGTTGGGATGAACGTAATGAAATAAGCTCGGCAAAATGTTTAGTTAGACATAAGTTTCAGAGCCACTAGAGCGTTGTAATGATTAATCTTTGATAATGACTACAGTAGTGAATATAAATTCTATCTGATCCATACACCGAGCCCAGGGATGGGCAATGCGGCTCTTTTACTGTCCTGTTGCGGCTCCACAGCAAAATTAGATTTTTAGGTAAAAATAAAATAATCCTCCTTTACAGTAAAATAAAGCTCTGCTGATCGTTCAACACAGTTTAACAATAAATGGTTTTAAACGCTGGAGTTAATGTAGAACTGCTAATTCACCCTTTAACCCTGAAGGTTGGCGTGCAGACTGCTGGTCACCATAGCAACACAGACAACAATCTCGCCTAGCTAGTAGCTAACGAAACGGCAACGAGAAAGATTTAAGACGAACATCCATAATTTAGAGACGACTTATTTGCATTTATGAGCACTGAGCTGGTTTCCTGACACGTTTAATCTGCATCGAGAAACTGTCAAACACTAAAAAGTCGCAAAGCTGAAGTCAGTTTCTCATTTGAATTGTCCTGTTCCACCTTAAATAGAGAAGCAGTTACATTCTGGCGCCTCAGGCACAAATTAATGTGGAATGGGAAAACTTGAACAAAAAGCTGGTGAATGAGAAGCGACTTCAGCCTCAGAAAAAAAGTTGAACGTTGAAAGACTTTTTACAAGAAGCTATTTTAATTTTGCGGAAAAGTTTCCTGCTGGAGATGTGAGAAAAGCAGCTATAGCTGAGCTAAAGCTTAAAGCAGAGCAAAGTAAATGCGTTATTTTTTATCCTCTACTAGTAAATCAGCACATGCTGAGACATATTTACAGCCAAGATGGTAAAATGGACATAAATGTTGTGGCTCCCAAGGTAGTTTGACTTTTGTTGAAAGGACAGAATGGCTCTACTTAGCGTTTGGGTTGCCGACCCCTGATCTAGGAGGAAAAAAGAGGACCTGCACAATTACAGTCAAGTAGGATGAATTGCTGTAGACCACACTACCAGTAAGTAGACACTGGTGTGAGGTACCGGTACAGGTCTGCCTATACGCTGGCTGTTTGCTTTCTGCCAGGCTATTGCAGGATTGGATCCAGTGTATTTATAGTAAGGCAGTTAAAGACTATTGAGTTGTTAGAGCTTATGAGGCTACAGGTCAGACAGCACAGATTAGTAGGTTATTGGCCTGTGTGTTCTGACGCTCGACAGTCAGCAATGCAAACATTGCACTTCCATACATACACAATACTCTATCGTGATAAATTTTGATATTGTGATAATATGCTTCTCTGAGCATATTGTGGATGTCGTCCATACCAACCATGACCACCTGCATGTTTCATTAAAAAGAGCATAATTAAACCTGTTTTATTGGATACAGTGCAGTGAAAAGTTTAATAAAAATCATTGCAGCTGGAGTTTTTGATGAGAGTTTTTAAAAAAGACACTAATAGTGCATTGTGTCTGTCAGAATATTGCTATATGTGAAAATGTCTCTACGGTCTTATGTAAAAGTTTGAGGAGGGTCTAATTGCAGCACCATTTGATGTGATGCAGACACGCCCCTCAGGAACGCCCCTCGCGTGACGTCAGGGGCAGGTGGGCTTTGGAGTAATAAAAGCCACAGTAACGTTGCTGAGTAAACAGAACTATGACGACAGTTTAGGGCCACTGTTAATAAAAATTAAAATAGTACACTTTGAGAATAAAGTCGTAATATTTCAAAAATAAAGACGCAAAGTTATGAGAATAAACTTGCGATATTTCGAGGATAAAGTGCTAACTGTAGGGGGGCTGCCATAAGGTGTTGGGGTCTCGGTTGCTGTACTGGTGATGGAGAAGATGCCGAGCGCGCCGGAATACTACTCACTCCTGTGTCCTTGTGGATCGATCATTTTTATCATCGTATCACAAATCACCAGAAGCTATACATTCGCGCATATTTGTTTTTTAAATGCCAACATCACGTAAATATGTAGAAACAATATTAATTTCGTATTTGTAACGTCTTTACAAATACTTATGTATTTTTATTTGAGTCGTATCCACCAATGAGAGAAGCCATTTTGCAGACATATCGGCCAATGAATGATAAGCAGGCGTTCCTGATATAGGCGTTTTTGTTTTACGGAAACGCCTTTCATTGCAGTTTGACGCTATTGAAAAGTTTGGTGCCCTTTTAGACAAGGCTGTTGGGTTACTTGTCCATCATTGACAATATCCGATTACATCACCCAGGCCTAACTGGTATATAACATATCATCATTCAAAATAAGGACATACTACAAAGCATGTACAAGTAGTAACACTATTGTAAACTGTTTTTTGATTGGCTCTTCTTATAAAGTCTTTCCCTGTAACTTTATACACGAAAATGTAACATCTGTATGTTTGCAGCTACACTCACCAAGTACTTTATTAGGAACACCTCCTTGTTTCTACACTCATTGTCCATTTTATCATCTCCACTGACCATATAGGAACACTTTGTAGTTCTACAGTTACAGACTGTAGTCCATCTGTTTCTCTTCATACTTTGTAACCCTGTTCTTCAGTGGTCAGGACCCCCACAGGGCAGGTATTATTTGGGTGGTGGGTCATTCTCAGCACTGCAGTAACACTGATGTGGTGGTGGTGTGTTAGTGTGTGTTGTGCTGGTACGAGTGGATCAGACACAGCAGTGCTGCTGGAGTATTTAAACACTGTGTCCACTCACTGTCCACTCTATTAGACACCCCTACCTTGTCAGTCCACCTTGTAGATGTGAAGTCAGAGACGATAGTTCAGCTGCTGCTGCACAGTTTGTGTTGGTCATCCTCCAGTCCTTCATCAGTGGTCACATGATGCAGTTGGCTGTGTGTGTTTGGTTGGTGGACTATTCTCAGTCCAGCAGTGACACTGAGGTGTTTAAAAGCTTTTGTGTTTAAAAACTGTCCTGTTGTGTATATTATTGGTTTGAGTAACTGTAGTAAATGCATTACACTGACAGTGCTAGCAGACTGTGGTCATTCAGTATCAAATGCATAAGCTGTCCTTTTGTGTCACTGTATATTGGATTCAAAAAGCTAACAGACCTCTTTAAACCTTTTCTATCATTTTGAGTGTCTGATGTTGATGTCGGCTTTATCCCAGCGCTGAAAGAAATCAAGAGGGTGCCACATGGATATTGATGTATTAATGGAGGTTGCTGAGCTGGAGGTGGCATATTGGAAATCAATATTGTGTGGTCACACTTAGACTGTGGGAATGTGATTACAGAGACTAAGTGTGACAAAATACTGATGAAATATCACAGTATTTTATTATGAGCCAGTTCTGACTGTAATCTTGATGGAAAAATGGAAAACACAGATTCTGTGCTTGGAAATGTTGTTATTTGTTGTTATCATTTCTTTCAAATGTGGCAGAAATTCTGGCCTAGAAACTCACTTTCCATTTACATCACTGTATTATTATGATATATATATGGGATATAACATTATATATCGTTGCTGTCGGAAGAAAATCTTGTATTTCCTCGTTTCCCAGTTTTTGACTTAATCTGAAAATGCCTGTTGCCCTTTATACTATGTGTAAACTTCATAATGAATGGACTAAAAGAAACGGCCCAGAATGACTTGGAAAAAATTCTGGTTCCATTGACTTACATTAAATGTAACGTAGGTTATTTCCATTCCCTGTAAAGTTACCATTTTGGAGGTACAAGGTTTTCTTCCGACAACAGAGATATGATGTTTTATAAATATATTTTATTGCAGAATTATTGTGCTATAAAAATGACATTGCCTCACCTTCTCTCAGTAATCTGGGATTATGCAGAGCTGTGGTAGGCTGTAATCTGTGTGCTGTTAATCTCAAGCATTGACAGCAGAGAGAGCAAGTTTAAAGGCCTGGTGTTGGTATTGTACAACTGTGTGCATGGTTGACTTGGTTTCTCACAATTTTATCTGTTATCCATTGGCAGAAAGTAACTGATTAAATGTACTTCATTTACTGTACATCAGTGCTTTTTACACAGTGTTTTTCTATGAGTTTATTTATTGAATTATTATGAAATGGCAGTACCTTTTCGCTTTTACTCACTAACTCACTTTGGGTTAGTTTTACACTCTGTAGTAACAGTGTTTCTACCTAGATAGACTGAAAGAGACTTTCAGACAGTTAAAGTGCTTCCCCCTCTTTCCCCTCAGGCTGCAGACACAGTGGTCCAGCTGACTGAGACTCAAAAGCCCAAACCAAAGTTGGAGGGGCTGCAGTTTGGCACCGTGTTCACTGACCACATGCTGGTCATTGAGTGGAGCAGCGAAGGAGGATGGGGAAAACCTCACATTCAGCCCTTTGGAAACCTGAGCGTCCATCCTGCCTGCTCGGCCCTGCACTACGCTGTGCAGGTCTGTTCTCCAGTAACACTGAGTAACACATTTCAATTGAATTTCACTATAATTTCAGTATTATTTTTATCACACAATGTAAAGGACACCTACTGTGTTTAAAGATAGAAAGATGAAAATAACAATAATGGAGATGTTATTATTACAGTTGGGATGCTGTGCAAAATGTAAATAAAAACAAAATGCAGTGATATGCAAATCATTTAAACCCTAGATTTCATTGAACATAGCACAAAGACAACATATCAAATTTTGAAACTGAGAAATTTTATTGTTTTTTGAAAAATATTTGCCCATTTTGAATTTGATGCCAACAACACATTCCAAAAAAGTTGGGAACGGGGCAACAAGAGGCTAAAAAACACCTGAACTTTTGTGTTTCATCATCTACAGTACATAATATCATTAAAAGATTCAGAGAATCTGGAGAAATCTCTGTACGGAAGGAACAAGACCAAAAACCAGTATTTGCTGGCCGTGATCTTTGGGCCCTCAGGCAGCACTGCATTAAAAACAGACATGATTCTGTAGTGGAAATCACTGCATGGGCTCAGAAACACTTCTGAAAACCACTGTTAGAAATTCAGCACCAAGAGTCAGGAGACTGGAGCTTCGGCGTTGACTGGAGTTTATTTCCACATACAGAGTATGGGTACAGCGTGGTCGATCAGCAGTCAATCAGCAGGATCAGAAGTCTAGTCTTATTCACGTGCATGCAGACAATCATGCACAGGCACAGCTTGGTTATCAGTGTGTCACCAGTCTGGTCACCAGTCTAGTCTAGTCCAGTCTGCAGTCCAGTCTAACAAGAATATTTTGGAAGGACCTTATATACTTTGAAAAACTAAAGAGGGGGAAGGGGGAACAAAAGGACTTTGAGGAGGGGTAAGGAGGGGTTGTAGACGGGGGGTATGAATAGAGATGTAGGGGGCAGAGATAAGGGGGGGGTGATAGTATCACCTTAAGGTCGTGAGACGAAGGGTCATTTAAATACAAACAAAGGAGGGAGGGGGCAAGGTGAGAGTGTGACAGTTATCACTACCTCTGCCATTTGCTCTCTACAGTGAAAATGGTTTAGACCTTAAGAAAATAACATAAGGGAAAATAACATATATTGAGAATATTTTCTCTCACCACTGTCTGTGAAAACAGTTCAGTGCTGCATCTACAAATGCAAGTTAAGACTCTGAAATGCAAGGAAGAAACCGTATATAAACAGGATCCAGAAACACTGCCACCTTCGCTGGGCCAGAGCTCATTTAAAATGGACTGAGGTGAAGTGGAAAAGTGTCTTGTGGTCCAACAAATCAAAATCTGAAATTCTTTTTGGAAATCATGGACACTGTGTCCTCTGGGATAAAAACCACTCAGCTTGGTATCAGTACACAGTTCAAAAGCCATGATGGTATAGGGGGTTTAGGTTTAGTGCACATGGCATGGATGATGTGCACATCTATGAAGGCACCATTAATGCTGAACAATAGATACATGTTTTGGCAACAAATGCTGCCATCTAGACTATGTCTTTTTCAGAGAAGGCCTTGATTATTTCAACAAGACAACGTCAAACCACATTCTGCATGTATTACAGCAGCGTGGCTCCATATTAAAAGATTCCAGGTGCTAAACGGACCTGCCTGCAGTCCAGACCTGCCATCCACTGAAAACATTTGGCACATTATTAAATGAAAAATACTGCAAATCAGACCCTGAACTGTTGAGCAGCTGAAATCCCGTATCAGTACAGCAGTGTCTCCTCAGTTCCCAAACACTTACAGAGTGTTGTTAAAAGAAGAGGTGATGAAACACAGTGGTAAACAGGCCCCCGTCCCAACTTTTTTGGTGTGTGTTGTTGGCATCTAATTCAAAATGGGCAAATATTTAAAAAAAAAAATTCTCAGTTTCAACATTTGGTATGTTGTCTTTGTAGTATTTTCCTTTAAAAATAAGCTTTACTTGTTTTGCACGTCATTGCATTCTGTTTTAATTTACATTCGACACAGTGTCCCAACTTTTTTGGAAATGGGTTTGTACATTTTATGTGTAGTATACATGATGGTTTATGTAGTTGGCATTGTCAACATTTTACACAATAACCTCTGCAGATTTAAAAATACAAGCTATTTATTTACAGCGTACAAATGTGTCAAAAGCAAATACAGACCGTAGACCTTAATTTCATCTCTCCCGCCACATGTGACCACATGTGTGATGTGATCTTTCTTACCACCAGCTGTTTGAAGGCTTGAAGGCGTACCGGGGACAGGACAACAGAGTGCGCCTCTTTAGGCCCATGCTGAACATGAAGCGCATGCTGAAGTCTGCTCGCCGAGCCTGTCTACCTGTGAGTCCTGCTTGGTTCTTACTTTGTCCTCCAGAACATTTAGACCTGGCTAGACAAAAATCTCGCAGAACAAAGGCTTTTGGGAACTCGCTCCTTCACATTTAGCAGTCTGAATTATCCACAAGGTGGTTCTGTTAGCGCTCAAGCAGTTTGAGTAGTAGTTTTCTTGTTGGTGTAAACAGTCCTGGAGTTTGAGGAAGGCGCTATGTAAAATTATTATCATTACTATTATTATTGTGATGAATCCACACCAGCGTAGGCTTTTTTAAAGGATTCCAGTATTTCCTCTAGGATTTTTTCCAACACTGGGGAGATGCAAACAAACAGGCGGAGCAGCAACTACAGCTGTTTTTTTTCTGCCGTTTGCACTGACACAATAAATAAGAGGCAGCTAAACATATTCAAGTCAGGCTCATGGATGTAAAAATGTGATCAGTGTGGTATTTTTAGAGTTTTAGATGTACATAAACTCAGTTGTGCCTTAACTCAGATAATTAAAAAGCTTTGCTACACATGTGAGTGACTTTGCAATCTTCCTTGTTTTATTTGCTGTTTTTTCTTCTTTTGCACTCTCGGTTCTCAGCTGTTAGAGGAGTCTGTAAACACAGATTTCACAATAAAACTATATAACGTAGTGAAGAATATGGTATCTGAATGTCTCTTACAGGCTTCAGATATCAGTGTCTAAGACAGGATTAAAGTAAATGGTGGAGCAGTGAATATGCACCATTGTTAGCTCAGGCATCAGCACAACAACGCAAATCTCATAAATTAATAGATAATTAGCATTATCATTGCGGTAATGAAAAAAGAAAAGGTAATGCTGAGTCTTCATAGGACAGTCCTACAGAGGAACCTCCCTACCTCGGCTGCAGCCTAGGCTTTGGATTGCAGCTATAAACTATAAAATGTGCCATAATTTTGCCACAGGCCACATTTTATGTTTTATTTTTTCCCTAATATGTTACTTTGAGCAAATAATCTCTATAGAGATTCTCTATAGAGGGTGTGTTAACTTATTCTCTCTAAGAAACTCACCAACATGTGTAATTTGACCAGGGACGTCCAAGGGGCATCCCTTTTGCATACAACTGTGTGCTTCATGGTCTTTGATCTGAAGCGCAGTCAAATGAAGCACCTTTGGTATGTAATTACTATACATTTAGTGTGTTCCTCGAGTATATTATCTCTGTGCGTTTGTCTGTCTGTGTTGCAGGGTTTTGATGGTGCTGAGTTACTGGAGTGCATCAGGAAGCTGTTAGAAGTGGATCAGGAGTGGGTTCCTCAGTCTGATTCCGCTAGTCTTTATATTCGCCCCACTTATGTGGGGAACGAGGTGAGTCCGTCTCATTCTGTATGAGGCCAGCCTTTGTTTGGGTTTGTTATGCAAATAGTATACAGCATAAATAAATAAATAAATCCCTATTCCCTATACACCGATCAGGCATAACATTATGACCACCTCCTTGTTTCTACACTCATTGTCCATTTTATCAGCTCCACTTACTATATAGGTGCACTTAGTAGTTCTACAGTTACAGACTGTAGTCCATCTGTTTCTCTGATACTTTGTTAGCCCCCTTTTACCCTGTTCTTCAGTGGTCAGGACCCCCATGGACCCTCACAGAGCAGGTACTATTTGGGTGGTGGATCATTCTCAGCTGCTGGAGTTTTTAAACACCTCAGTGTCACTGCTGGACTGAGAATAGCCCACGAACCAAAAATATCCAGCCAACAGCGTCCTGTGGGCAGCGTCCTGTGACCACTGATGAAGGACTAGAGGATGACCAACACAAACTGTGCAGCAGCAGATGAGCTATTGTCTCTGACTTTACATCTACAAGGTGGACTGACAAGGTAGGAGTGTCTAATAGAGTGGACAGTGAGTGGACACAGTGTTTAAATACTCCAGCAGCACTGCTGTGTCTGATCCACTCAGACCAGCACAACACACACTAACATACCACCACCACGTCAGTGTTACTGCAGTGCTGAGAATGATCCACCACCCAAATAATACTTGTTCTGTGAGGGTCCATGGGGGTCCTGAGCACTGAAGAACAGGGTAAAAGGGGGCTAACAAAGTATGCAGAGAAACAGATGGACTACAGTCTGTAACTGTAGAACTACAAAGTGCACCTATATAGTAAGTGGAGCTGATAAAATGGACAATGAGCGTAGAAACAAGGAGGTGGTCATAATGTTATGCCTAATCAGTGTATGTTGTATTTTGTGTTTAAGGGCATCGTGTGTTTGTGTTTCTGTGTGTTGGCAGCCGTCACTAGGTGTGAAGAAGCCCTCGTGCGCTTTGCTGTTTGTGATCCTCAGTCCTGTCGGCTCATACTTCAGCACAGGAACCAAACCTGTGTCCCTGTGGGCCGACTCCAAATACATCAGGGCCTGGAGAGGAGGAACAGGAGACTGCAAAATGGGAGGGTGAGAAAGAGAGAGGAAAATCTTTAGTAACATAATGCCTTCACTGCTTTGACCATTTTTTTGTAAAGATGTTGCCCCATAACAAGTGCCAAATCCTGATTCAACTCTCACTAACGCTGTTGCAACTTAAATGCCTCTGCTAGGGATTAAACCAGTGAATTTGAACCCAGCTTAATTTATAAGCCATCTGTAAGCTCCATTCTGGCGAACACAGAAAAACAAAATCTCAAGCATTACAGTTTTGTTTTTTACTTTCTGTTTTTGATCAATATGTTACTGATGGTCAGGAGTTGCAGTCTCTGAGTTCTGACCTCTGATCTTCCACATCTTGGGATCTTTAAAGTACTGAGGACATGCGGGGTCATCGGTTAAGCCAAACAAATACACTTCCCTTCCAAAAGTATGGGGGCACATAAAATGAACATTTTCTTTTAAAAATCGTAATGATTAGATTTTTAACCCTTGTGTGGTGTTCAGGTCTGTGGGGCCCATTTTCAATGTTTACCAAAAGAAAAAATATGCATTTTATTATTATTCCAACCTCAGATTCTTGGCCTTTGCTCATTTTCTGTGAAGAACATATAAAATAACCCATTTTCAGTGTCTTCACTCTGTTCACCCCCCACACATTTATATTACACATGTGGTGTTGGGCTGAACCCGCGGGGAGTAAAAGTGTGGAGGTGCTGTGTCCTTCACTTACAGTGTGTGTGTGTGTGTGTGTGTGTGTGTGTGTGTGTGTGAGAGTGGACAACATGGACAGGCTGCTGACTGGCTACAGCTGCTAAAGGAGAACCCTACACTGGACACTTGTGATATTATAAACATCTGGTATTTTTACATAAATTGTTATGGCTGTATTGAATTAATTAAACAATAATGTGGTGGGTCCAGCAGACCACTGAGTAACAAACACATCAACACCACACAAGGGTTAAATATGAATGAATAGAACACTGTTATCCAATAACAAAAAACAGATCAGCTGACCTCTGAAAAGTTACAGCAGTCATTCAGATGATAATTAAAAATTTGCCAAAGCATAACCACTCAGTAAATGTTTTAAGATATGTGGCCCAATTATTTGGTCAAAAAAGAAATTAAGAGAAATTACCCCATTTTACCTTATTTGAGAATTTATAATAATAATAATTTAATAATAATATTAATAATTTTATTTATATATCACTTTTCATGCCAGTGGCAGCTCAAAGTGCTTTACAGACAGGTGATGAAGCTTAACAGTAATACAAGAAACCGAAAGTATTCATTTAGAATCATATAAGAAAATGACACAAATTAAAAGATAAACACCACGAGACGTAGAGTTTTAATTAAATGCTGAGATAAAGAGAGACGTTTCAAGATGCTTCTTAAAAGTGAGCACTGAGCTTGACTGTCTAATAAAAAGTGAACTGAGCTCCACAGTTTAGACGCAGAATAACAAAGAGTCTCTCTCAGAAGGTGTTTGCAGAAGGTCAGTATCTGCCGATCTAAGATTACGTGTTGGAACATATCAACATAACATGTTATCATCAACAATAGTGAGTTGCAAGAAAAAGGTTAAAGGTCTCAGGTTTAAAAATACAAAAAAAATCTATATTTTATGGCAGTAACTTAAGCTTCACTGCCCTGTTTTGATAGTTACATCAGTATTTCTGGGTTACCAGTGCATAATAGTATGTGGACTATTTAGAAACAGTTATGAAATTCTAGTACTGTAAAAAGACTACAGTTGCAGTGGTTTTTGATCCTTCCAAAATGTAAAAATGCCTAAAACATGAGCACATTTATCGACCATGAGTCTGTCAGAAGTTGGTTACACAAGAGAAAAAAACAAAACCAGCAGCAAAATCAATAATCAGGTTCCTGAGGGTCGTTTGGGGTATTTAGGATAAAGGTGAACCTACATGGAACAAAACGTGGCACTACACAGTGTGTTTGTACGCAACTGCTTGTGTGCCAGAATACTTAGTGTTTGCTCCTGTTTTGAAAGTCAGGACACGCACACATTCTCTTTAGCCAGAAATTATTCTCAAAGTAACTAAACATTTGTAAAAGATTGAAATTGTGGTGAAACTTTCATGCAGGGCTGCTAAAATGTGTTAGAGCCTCTTAAAGATTTACAAAGCAATGGAGCAGCAGAGTCACTGAAGTTGATGATGGAACCAAAGCACTTGTCATGGAGGATGCTGTGCTAGTGCATACAAAGCCTCTTTATTTTCAGGAACTATGGTGCTTCTATTTATGCCCAGTATGAGGCAGTGGATTACGGATGCCAGCAAGTGCTGTGGCTGTACGGGGATGACCATCAAATCACGGAGGTCGGCACAATGAACCTGTTTCTTTACTGGGTCAATGAGGAAGGAGGTAATGTTTGCTGTAAACCCAACTCCAGCTTAATGTGTGTTGGGTGGCTTCTTATCTGGTGTTTTGTTTGCAGTGCAGGTCTAAGAAAAACACTGACACAGTGGCTCATACGGATGGTAGGTGGCTATCTCTGTAAGAGTGCCATGAAATATGTTCTGCTACTTCCCAATGGTGGGGACGCCTAATGTAAAAAACACTGTATAACACTGTAAAATTATATATATATATATATATATATATATATATATATATATATATATATATATATATATATATATATATATATATAAATAAAATCAGTGTTAAAAATCTGTTGGCCAGTGTTGTTGTAATCAAAGGATGGTTTCATTTGGCTGGGCACCACTGACCTCTAGTGGTCAACAAATATAAGAAAAGCTGAGAAAAATAATGAAAGAGAAAATAATGTCCAGTGCCGGCATATGAGTCACTGCCCCATCTTACTTCAATGACATGATCAAGTGTTTTGTATTTTTCACTAATTTGGTGACACTTTATTTTTCAGTGTCCTTTTAGATGAAACAAACACTCAACAGACTCACAGTAATATCAAAACTTATGAGGGTTAGGATTAGGCTTTGGGTTAAGGTTAAGGTTAGGGTTAGGATTAGGACCAGGGTGAGGCTTACGATTAGGCTTTGGGTTGAGGTTAAGGTTAGGTTTAGGATTAGGACCAGGGTGAGGATTAGGTTTTGTGTTGACATTGAGGTCAGGGTTAGGATTAGGGCCAGGGTGAGGGTTAGGTGTTGGGTAAGGTTGGTAAGGTTAGGTTTTGCGTAATGGAAGTAACATATTAACGAAACATCTACTTAATGTAAGTAATGAATCAACAGAACATCTACGAGATATTTACCTCAGTGTATTCAGATGCTTCACTACTAATACTTCACTGATATGTTGCTGATGTGTTACTGATAATCTGGTATGATTTTATTAATCATCTACAAAGGACCACTCCAAATAAAGTGTTACCAAAAATTTCATGATTTTTTCATAATGTCTATTAATTTACCCCTAAATCAAGATAAAATGCCTTGGTTGTATTTCAGTAGGATGATTTTAAAACTAAGTTGTGAAGCTTCCCTAAAATTTTACATGTACATTTAGTACAGAAGTTAGTAACTTCATCAAGGACATTTATCAAAAGTCCAGAATATACCAAGTGTTGAAAAATGTCTATTTTGTCAATTCATATGAGCTTAGTCTTAGCTTAGTCTACAGTGAGATGCTGAAAACCTCGCAATTAAATGTGGGATGACTAACAGACAGTTGGCTTTATAGGGCGACTGGAGCTAAAAACTGTTGTTTCAGCTGTTTCTGACTTGCTATAAATAAAATAAGACGCTGCATCACAGAAAATCTGCATTTTTTTCTCTGCTCAGAGGAAGAACTTGCTACACCTCCTCTGGATGGGATCATACTACCGGGCATTACACGGCAGAGCATCCTGGAGCTTGCACGCAAATGGGTAAAAAAATGGGCTTAACCACGGGAGCAAACCAGCTATACTCTTTTCTGACTTAATTAAGCCTGAAATTACATCCCTTATGCTCATGTACATCAGAACTCTGAGATATTTAGCAGATTAACTGATCTTCAAGCTATGTGCCATTTGTAAATCTGATAATCCAATTTTCAGTAGATAAGACATGATCAAAAATTTAGCATTTCCATAATTCTGTTCCATGTTCTTCATAGTTGCACTACACCATCATCAATAAGAATTGCTAGTTCTTCTGTAGGAGAATTACTAAAGGGCAAGAACTCGATGGCCACTTCAGAATCCTCATACGCGAGTAGACTATAATCTAGCTGTTCTGCCACTAACATCATTTGTATTCACACAAGTCCTGTTTGCTTCTGGTCAAATAACACATTTTGTTGATTTTCTAACATCATCTACACAGAAAACACTTCTGCACATTTTAATTACTCTTTTTATTTGGTGAATTAAACATTTGACAAAAAAAAGAAACATAAAATGTGGCCTGTTATGGTAAATTTTTGTTTTCTTTTCCCCACATACTCAGCAGATAAATAGAAATAGTGCACTAATATTTGCAGAAAATGTCATATTTAAATCAGCAAAATGTATTTTGACTGGGATGCTCAAACTTTTCCATACACCTGTATGACCTCGGATTCATGTCATTCTCATCTACATACATGATTTGCCCTTATTATCCCTGTCCATAGGGGGAATTTAAAGTGTCAGAGCGGTACTTGACCATGGCTGATCTGCGCCTGGCTCTGAAGGAGAACCGGTTGAAGGAGATGTTTGGCTCAGGGACAGCATGTGTGGTCAGTCCGGTGGGCAGGGTGCTGTACCAGGGAGAGGTGAGCTTAGGGTGCTGCTTCTGCAGTTAATGTCTTCCACACAGATTCAGTGTACATTAGACATTGCAGTGCTAAGTGTTCTTTTGTGAAGGCATAACATGCATAGATAATGCACCTGAAGTTAAAGTTCCGTTCGCTAGGGGGGTCCAGACTGCACACAGGGCCACCTAATAATTGCTATGAGCTTGTGAAGTACTGAAATAATAAACCCATCAACAAGCTCAGGACATAATCAAACAACTGATGAGGTGAGCTCCTGCAAAACCTGAAGCCACACCGGCACTTTTTCAGGTAAGACTGGACACCCCTGCAATAACGGAATCCAAAAACAAGCTAAGGTCAAACACAAGCTAACGAGCATGTACAGACAAGAAGCAGGCAAAACGAGTCAAAAGGGGTCAGGCAGAAGTCATAAACAAGAAAACTAAGCAGATACAAACCAGGAAAACCAGCAGCTCAGTAATGCTCAGCAGGCTGACACAATACTTCACAATGTGAGTGTGAACACAGACAGGTTATATGGGGTGAGATACAGGTGGTGGAAATCAGTAATCAGGGGGTGCAGAGTGTGGAGAGGTGGATGGTACTGAGTCTGGAGTCAGGTGACCTCCCAGAGGATTCTGGGAGTTGGAGTTCACGACCTATTGAGGAGCAGTGGTTTCAGCGGAGCCGGGGAGAGGTGTGACAGCGTCCCACACAAACAAAACAATGACTTTTCAGATCATGAGGAGAAATGTAAATATAATTTTTGTTCAAATGTGTTAGGTGAAAATATTATAATTTCAAGTATGTCTACTCAAAAAAATATGTATTTTCTTTAATGCATTGCCTTAATTACTTAGTCGCTTTTAAAAAATGCCACAAAATGCATATTTATGAAGGGCCAACCTGTGTGCAAAAAGGCTTATAAACCAGCGCACGCAAGCTTTTAGTAGATACGGCAGTTCTTCCCCACCAACACATTCCATTGGAGTGTAATTCTTGGTCCTCTCTGGTCCAAAAACAGAATTTAGGAAATAACAACATGCACATTTTGCACAGTAAGTTCTCGCATACGCCCTCCTGGCCCTGACAGTTGAAATAGTGTTATGCTGTTGGTAAATATTTTTCCAGCTCGAGGTCATTGCCTCCGTCTAGCCACTATGACTGCTGCCATTGTTAAAGAATGTCGCTTAATTACACACTTTTGGGACACTTACGCTGAATTATGCTAATTTAATAGCATTAAGAGACTGAGAAAATTCCATGCAGAAGAGTAGAGGCTGTTACTGCAGCAAAGGGAGGACAAACTCCTTATTAATACCCTTGATCACTGCCAAATTTACTGTGGTGTTAAGAGCAAACAACATTCCAGGAGCACATTTTCTCATTCATAAACGAGGATTACCGGCTTGTTTTGCCGTTTGCGTGATATGTGACGCTACCGCACTTTTCCATCATTTGCATGTGCTGGAATTCATAACAGAACACTGCCCTGCAATAAACTGAACTACCTGATCTGGTCCAATGGTAAATTTCCCTGGTCATTAGCTGATTTAATCTTTTCTATAGTGCCATACATCAGACATGTTTGTCACACATGCAAGTCGTCAACAAATCGTGCACATGCACTGTAGGAAAAGTAGGAGAAAACAGGAAAAACAGCCCATTTTAGGCGCATCTCGATTCTGTCTGTAAAGATTTGGAGGAACAAAAATGCAGCATCTCGCATTTTATATGTATGCTGTCATATATTGGTCATATTTTTTTTTGTAATTTTCTTTTTATTGGAGAAAGTCTTCTGAAAAAAAAACAAAAAAATACACATTATATCATTCACTGTAAATTACTCATTATAAGTTCACATTATATCAAACAATTGTAACAGTACTTCAATTAGCACCACAGTTATCGATAATCATTATAAAGGAAGAGGAAAAGAAAGAAGGAAAATAAATAAATAAATAAATTATTTATTTATTTATTTTTTTAAAAAAGCAGAGGGGGTGGTTTTACCAACTAAAACATGAAAATTTCTGATTTTCCCTTCAAATTAGCTCCTTCAAAAACTGTTTACATTACAAAAAGGGAAGCGTATTCTTTAACTGAGAGGAGAGGAAATAAAAAAGTAGGCCATAAAAACCTACATAAGTTCTGGTCGCCGGGGTCTTATATATACTAGCCACTTAGACCAAATCTGACAGAATTTGCTAATTTGAATTCTTAAGGAATAAGTTAGCATTTCGAAAACATAAATTTCATGAAAAATGTCATACCGGTCAAACAATTGAGGGGGCTCAACAGGGGCTCAATCACTGTTCTAGTGATTGCTTTCTTATGGTCATAATTTTTTACTGAAACAATAGTAAACATGACTATATGTAATAATTTTACTTTGTTTAACACCTACTTTGGCAATTTGCTAACAGGCTAATCCAGTTATTTTCAGAGTTGGGCTCAAGTTTTTTTAGGCTTTAAGAACTTATTTGAGGATTAACTGTAAACGTGAAAAATATATGATACCTGAATGTCTGGTCTGCTTGAAATGCCAACATTTAGGCAGGAACTGTTATAATTAGTATTAAAACCATTAGCATTAAAAGTGCAGCAGTGTTAGCTTGGCGCTAACATAACACTGAAAACTTCATTCTGAAAGTTAGCAATACTTTAACAGTGTTATTTGAGTAAAAAGCTTCTTATAAAGTAGAATTTTATACACTAAACACTGCTATGTATGCATGTTTATGATTATATTACAGAACTTTAAATGTATATATGGCATGCGTCCATCCCCTGGGCCTTGATGACTGCCGTGAGAGCCGTCATCGGGGCCCAGGGGATGGGCACATGCCATAGTATATTTATCCCATTCTTTACTTTGTGGTTTGGACATCTGTTTTAACCCTTAGGACCAAAACGGTAGGTCACTTCTAGTCTTCATAACTTCAGAACGGTTTAAGGTACAAACATGATCCACATATCAGGACATTCAGCAGACCCGCCCCTAACTAGCAAGCATGACGTCAATCACCTAAAATCCTGATGTTAAATCAATAAAAATTATGTCTGCCTTATGCTGATTGTTTATTTTTACTCGTTATAACCAATAGAATGAATCACTATCAAAATTATTGCACTTTCAGCTCAGAGACACTCCAGACTAACAGTTTCTGAAAAGATAACTAAAATTCCACTAGTTTTCAAGATCTCTTTAATTAAAATTAAAAATACAAAAATTTTAAAAATACAAAATTTTGTAGGCGCTAGGTAAATTTTTGATCAAAAATGACCCAAATTCATAAAGATATCAAATTTCGGTTAGAATTTACATGTCAAACAATGGCATATCTGAGTAGCCCGGGGTCTCTTGAAAATACCAACATATGGCACGTGTGACTGTCACATGTAAATACTTTATAATTGCAATTGCAATTGTAATTGACCCAAAATACCCCAAAAAATCCCCAAAATTTTAGGTTTCTAAAGGCTAATCTGTTTTTTCTTACAGTGCTTCATGGCAGGTGTTTACTTATTTAATTATTATTATTTTTTTTATATATATTTCATCAGTGGCCAACATTTCTGGTAGTCTACATTAAAATTTTACACTTGTAAATGACATACAGAAAAAAAGACATAAGGAAAAATTACATAAGCCATAGAACTCAAAAATTGAAATGCATCGAAAATTGTTTTATAAACACATCTTGGCATCTTGAATTGAAATAGAGATTCTCATGTTAACCCATTCAATTGTTTAAGTGATATATTTAAAAAGCAAACTGCAGTTGCAGGAGTACAAGTCAGGTGAGTTCTTACTAGCGAGCCATTTCAGCATTACAGAATTCAATATTAAGGTTTTCTTCGTGTTTCTTGTTACATTTAATACCATGTTGGTATCGGTGCATTTGTTTACCATTTTTTAAAATTTATGGCTGCATTTTTATTAAATGGCACTCGTACTTCTTTTATTATGTCTTTTCCTAGAATCCGCAGCTCTGAATTTTGGTTTTCTTTGTCCATTTTGGCTCCTAAACAAGTGTTGAATGTTAGTCATTAATATGTGTTAATTTATTAACAAGTCAGTTTCCATTGTTTCCATTCCACTGCACTAAAAAGAGAGACCAGCTCAGTAATCACTGCCATAGTTTACTTTATGAGTAGGACCTTATAACTGTGTAGCACAGTTACTCCTGAGTTTTATAAATCTGTATTTAGAATAAGAACTGCATAAATTGCAATTTAGCCTTTGTATGTAACACTTGGCTAGAATTGATTGTCTTTTCACCTGAAACTGGTGCAGAAGCTTGGTTTATACTAACTGGCTAAAACTGGTATCTATAGTAAATGTTAATTACTTTCATTTTCATCCGTCTATAGAACCTTGAAATTCCCTGTGAGGTTAACTGCTCAACGCTTGTCTCTAGACTGCAAAAGGAGCTCACGGACATCCAGGTGAGGCAACACACACGCATTACCTCAGGCATACACACTCACGCTGCAGTGGTGTGGGATGTAATGGCACACAAATATTCAGAATACATATTGAGAATACAGAAATGAAGTATCTGTACTCAGTCCAAGTTACATTTTGTAAAGGCAATATTCAGAATACAGTTACCTTCAAAAATTTTAAGAGAATACATTTAGAATACTTATCCACTAAATTAAAAAATATACTATGAAATAAATGGTTCCATGAGGCAAAAAAAAACAAAAAAGTATCCATCTGCATCCACAAGGCATGTGCAAAATAAATCCCAGAGCAAAGAAATCCCAGGCACACCGTCCTTAGAAAAAGTATAAAAAGCCTTTATTGAAACGTGGCTCCAAGCCGACTGTGCACCAACTTATCTTTAAGGATAGGGGCCCTTCTAAAAGAAAAAGATGGAGGGTCAGGGAACGCTGTACGTAAAAGAGGGTCACTTTGCACTTTATTCTAATTTCCTCCCAAGCAGGAGGAGTTTTTTATGATGTCAAACTCCAAATGCATCTGCTTGATTTGCAAATAGCCATCGCACTTCCAAAGAAGGGGAACGTTGAGAGGCATTTTCAAACTATACATAGAAACTACGACGACCAATTTCCAGCAAAAAGTGAGCTCAGGAAGTGGTCCAGACTACACAAACCAGGCTGACACCATTCAGTGCAAATCATTAGAATTAGGGTAGTGTGATTTTTCAGTTGTTTGCCCTGTAATGCTGAGTATTAATACAGGCCCCTGAAGTGCGTTAAAAGAGTTTCAAAGCTTTTAAAAAAGGATGAGGCCATTTTTTTAAGGTAGATCACGATGACCTGTCCACTAGAAAAAGTAGATCTCAAGCCACAGAAGTATGGGCCCCCCTGTAGTGGAGTACTTTGTACATGATTCTTCTCTGCTTGAAAGAAGCCTCAAAAAATACCCTTTGTGTGTGAGTGGCTGCTGTTGCCCAAAATGATGCTGCATAACCGGAAAAACAGAATGTTTTGGTTTTATAGTCAAGTTTTCATGAGACGAATGTTAGAAAAGTGCATTTTGTACATAAAAGAGAATTGAAGTTGTTGGTCATTCAAAAGTAATTTTAATGTCAGGTAAAAGTATGCGGGTGATGTACATAATTTTGAGTCAGAAGAGGTTATATTCTGACATTTAGTATCGACTAAAGCTAATTTTATACAGCTGGAGTTAGCCAGTTAGCTTGCAAGCATCATTAGCTGTAGTTGTCTAATGTTACTTACAAGACAATGATTGTGTTTACATGCACTTAATAATCCGATAACTGCAGAACATTAGATTTAGTCAGTAATCCGATCAACGAGTTTACATGCACCTGAGTAATCAGATAATGGGGAAACTCCAGCTCTACATGAGTCAGACAGTAATCGGATTTCTGCTTTACATCCAGCCAATAAATTCACAGAAGATGTGACATAAATGTAGGATAAAACTCAAACTTCATGCTGTGGCTTTTTTTTTTTTTGAAACATTGCAACACCTTTACCTGAAAATGTGAACATACATCATCTAGAAGATGAAGAATATTTAAATCCTTCACTTCGTCAGGAACGTGTTCGGTTATTTCCGGTACTGCAGTCTGTTTTCGCACATACTCAGACTGAGAAATCCGAAAGAAATCAGAGTAAGAGTTCACATGCACTCAGAAATCTGATTACTGAGCTAAAATCCAGCCTCAGATTTCTTAATCGAATTTCTAGACCTTACTCCGATCTAAGAAATCAGAGTGTGCTGTTTACATGACCATTTGGATAATCAAATAACTGCAGAAATCCGATTATAATTGGATTATTGAGTATTGAGTACGCACATTCAGTGATTCATGCAAAAGCAGTGCTTTATCTGACCAGCTAAGACATAAAGCTGTAACTCTAAAAAGGGTTGATGTTTATTCTTATCACCTACAGCTTAGTGACTTTTATTCAAGGATTGCAAGGGTTGTTAACATTACATACAACCTGTGAAGGTAGTTCTTTAAAAGAAGCATTGCTTTGCATGGCTTCCAATATTCACTCGCTGTGTTCCTTTCCTTGTCGTGAAGTTCTCTAAATAATATGGTGGTTTATCACCCCACAGCAGAGATATCTGTTCTTTCGGTTATTTGTAATAGTAAGACAATAATGGTTGACTATTGTTCTGAAATTATTATTGTCGAAATTACAGTGTATAGTAAATAGTTTAGCCGTAGATTAAGAGTAGGCCTGTCATTTTCCTACACGCTCTTTGGCATCAATAACGAACATTCAGAATTGTTCCAGAGAGACCAGCTCAGTTTTCAGTTGTGTCCATTCTCAGTACTCAGTCATGGGTCGTTTACAATTTTCTAGAGCTGTCATGTAAAACTAGTGTACTGCTGTTTTTTGCATGGACTTTTTTCATGTGTTTTTTTTTTTCTAAAATCTTGCTTAGAGGCAGGAGGACTGGAATCAAGGCAAGAGGTGCTCAAAATTGAAGCCAACTTCTATTTATTTATTTGATTTTTTTGTAAGAAAAGGTTTGATAACCATGCATTCAAGTGAATCTACAAAGGCAACTGTTTATAAAGGAGCATGCTGCCATCACATCTCATGCTGTCAAAAGCGTATTTGAAAAAAGCTGTTGGAATTGGATCCAGGGAACAGGTGGAGGGTTTTAACTCTGTGGCCGTTTTTTGCAGCTCTGTTTCATTAATTTGACAAAACTCAAAGCTGTAATAACTGGTCCATTTCCCATAGAACAAACTATGCCAATAATTTTCTTACTGACAGTGCCCTACAGCTGAGATGCATGTTGGGGGTCCCAGCTGTGCATGTGGTCTTATTTGAAAAGGGGGAACTTCACGATTACATGATCAGGTCCTTTCTGTTAAATATTTGTGCGATTGAAGCACTTATATGAGGCAAGTTGTTATCAGATAGGTAATATTTATTGTAATTATATGCCAGCTATGAACAATGATAAGGCATCTCATTCTCTTTGTGAACATTTGGGCCAGTGCAGAGCAGTGTGAGCGGCCTGTGACTATGATATCTTTATGTATCTCTTTTTTTCCCCGTTACTCCCCCTCTACGTCTTAATCTCTCCTTCTCCCCCTCTCTCTCGCTCTGTCTCTGGTCATGAGGCTGACAGCGCGGGGCTAATGTGGGATTAATGGTTACCCATAGAGAGGCAGCGAGCAGATAGGGCCAGACATCTCTCCTGAAAGCACTCATTACGCTCTCCCCGTAATTACACTAAACCTAATTATTGTCCCAGCCTTTTGTGATCTTCAAAGCCAAGACGTGACAAATAAAGCCGCTTGAGAGTTGCACGATGCAGAAAAAAAAGCTTAATGAACAATAAAATCGACAAAATGCATAAGGAAGCAAGAGGAAAAAAGTGCGAGGCGATGTTAAATCTGTTGACATTTAATTTGTTGGTGCAATGGAAGCATGTGTCCCACTGGAGCACAACATTGGGCACAAACAAATGCGTCGGTTGCGAGGCTGCAATGGAGGGATGAAAGATGGGTTTACTAACACGTCCCTCCGTTTCTCTTTCATGTTAATTAGAAATCGCGTCCTTTTGTTTCTTTACCCAGGCGCTTATTTATTCTCCCATTTCGTCCATTAGAACAAATTTGCAACATGAGACACAAATAATTGGATTTGTCTCTATGGCTGTCATGGACGGGGGAACATTTTGTTTTGAATTGTCTTGCAGTCGAGTTCACAGATCTGCTTATGGATATTCGGTTGTGGCGGCTTCATTCTGGTTGTGTTGTGGCTGCTGTGGGTGTGGAACTGTCACCTCTGACCTCCTACATTTGCTTTTCTCTCTTTTGCAGTATGGGCGGACTCCAAGCGACTGGGCCATCCTTGTGTAGACGAGCCTTGATGTTTTAGAGACTCGATGAACCAACATAGACTAATGCGCACGTACACATACACACAAGCACACTTTATCACGTACACACATGTGCCCAGTCTAAATCTCCAGTCCTCTCCAGACCTGCTGACATGCAGACTTATTGTGCCCATATATAATGTTTTAGACCAGTGGTTCCCAAACCTTTTACAGTCCCATACGCCCTCAGACATTAAACCTTCTGCTGCGTACCCTCTCTTGCTCTTCACACATACACGTGTGAATATTGCCATGACGCATATGTGAGATATTTAGCCTTGTAAAATCATTCCAGCTTAAAATGATTATAATGCAATGACACATCACACCAGATATACTGAATAATACTCAGTAAAAAAAATGTTAGGCCTCTAATGTAGACTTGGGCCCAATCCCATTTCACCTCTTGCCCCTGCCACTTAGCCCTTAGCCCTCTGTTTTGCACGTTCACATTTAGGGGTAGGATGTCCCGATTTTTGTTGAGATAGAGGGGTAGGGCGAAGTGTTAGGGCTACATGACCCTTCAAACTGAGGTTTTTCAAAGACTCACTCCAAACAGAGTGCAAGATGGTTGTGCAAGTAGAATGCTGATGTCTCGGTAGCTAGCTAGATAAATTTCCCGTTTCACCTTAAATGGTACAGTAGTTACGCCTGAACATAACTGCTGCTGCATTTAAGGCGGAACGAGAAAATTCAAACAAGAAGCTGGCGAATAGCCGACTTTAGCTTCATATCACTGAAGAATTAGGGGTGGGCGATAGTAAATAATTGTCCCTCTTTGAAGGCATACGATTCCCTAAATGTAACTAAAGCCCAGCAGTGAGGAGCTGAACTTTACCCTCCTCTGCTATCACTGCAGACTGACAGGGTCGCCTACAGAGCAGTGCTAGTAGCTGTTAATGAAGTAATTAAGTGTCCCATAACTCAGTTTCAAGGGGCAACATGGCACTCGAAAACAAGGGGTAGAGGTAAAAAGAAGAAATGAGATTGGGCCATGGTTCACCCGTGAGAGCTGCACAGAGCCCAGGGAAGAGTTTGAGGAGTGAAGGTTCTTTATTTGTAATCTAAAAGCACAGTAATCATTTGCGCAGTACCGAATATCTGATATGTGTCAGTATGAAGACGCATATGGATGCGTGAGAGTCTTTGGCTGTAAAATAAACAGGGAATAACAAAATGTTCACGAGCTACAGATCATATACAGCACAGTCACTGTATCCGTTTAGTTTTAACAGCGCTACAAACATGAAGCTGGTACAAATACCAAAGTTTATACAACTGATAGCTTAGTTGTGGGCTGGAGGTTAGGGAACCAGCTCTGTGACCAGAAGGTCGCCGGTTTGATCCCCTGAGCCGACAGTATGTGACTGAAGTGCCCTTGAGCAAGTCACCTAACCCCCGGGTGCTGTGGATAGGGCTGCCAACCGCTCCAGGCACGTGTGCTCACTGCCCCTTAGTGTGTGTGTCTTCACTAATATGCATGTGGTGTTTGACTGCACGGATGGGTTAAATGCAGAGGTGAAATTTCCCCTTTGTGGGACTAATAAGGGTCAGCCACAAACTAGACCACATCTGTGAACCTGAAACTAACTCAAGTACTCAACTAAGAAGAATCACACAAGCCTTAACAACTCACTTGATTCACGCACAACAAACGGCGTCTTTTCCAACGCAGTCTTTTATACAAATAATATTAAATGAAGTCCCAGCTGTCAGAGCACAAGTTTGTCATGTGCTGGATGTTATAAATATTCCTCTACCTCTATCTCTCATGCATACACACTAATACACAAGCCTTTCCATAGATCTGGCACTTCTTTTGGTCTTTTGATTAAACTCACTATTCAAAGATCCGCTCATAGTGAGGATCTCTTGCTCAGGAGTTGGTGAGTGAAGTGCCGAGCTGGCAGAGCTGTTTGTATTGTGTGTATTGGGGAGGTACCTGTGTAAATGTGCGGCGACTAAAGGAATGAAATGAAGGTTAAATGAAGTATAAGCGTCAAACAATTTTTTTTTGTACTTCTGGTGGTACCTGACCCCAGTTTGGGGACCACTGATCTAGGCTGTAGGGGGGATAACGCAGACTTCCAGAGAGACTGCACAAGATACAAACTTCTAATTGCTAACAGCTTATTTGCATGGTCCACTGTAGATGTTTTGTAGATGCTCAGTCTACTTTTAACTAACATTCAACTAAATATCTATTAAATCAGACTGAGAATCAAGCTTTACTGGCCAGGTTTGCTTACACATACAAGGAATTTGGTTTTGGTTTTAGGAGCTCACAATGCACAGTATCAGACAAACATTTACATGTAGTAAATAAAATAAAATAAAATAAAACATGCATTTCTGCACACACACACAGTCATGCAACTGAACTTAAGGTTGTGGGTGAAAGATTCTATTAAATCTGTCCTGAACCCTAAACCTAACTCTAACCCTAATGTCAAGGCAGAACCTACACCTACTCCTAAAGCTAACCCTAACCATAATGTTGTTGATAATCATTCTCATCAGAAAGTTTGTTAATAAATTGAGTATCTGTAGATCATCTATAGGGGACCATCCAAATAAAGTGTGACCGAATTAGCTAGTGGAACCCACATGATGACATTAATGAAAAGGTCCAGAAAGTAATGCATAAAAGTAAAATATTTCAGACGAACAAACAAAGAATTTCTTACTAAGTAAGCAAAACACAATACATGTGCAGATGTGCAGATTTTGGTACCAGTATCAACCACGGAAGTGACTCGAGCTGAAAGGTTCTCTCATTAGTTCGTTCCACACTTGCAGCTATGCTGTGATGATGTTCAGTGAAGGTCACAGAAGGTCTGTGATACCGGAGGCTGTGGACCAGAGTCTGGAGATTTAGATTGGGCAAGAGAATACAACCCACATGTCGATGCACAGAAACTTGAAGATGAACAGGAAAACAAACTGTGTAGATGAAGTCTTAGTATTATGCAATAATTGTTCCTTGACTGCAGTATTCCTTTTTCCTTGTATTTGCGGTAATGTGTCTCTATCACATTTGGATCCACCTGGGTGATGCAGGAATCATGTCCATTAATTTGCACTTAACACATAAATTGTTTCAGTGCTCTTTAACCCACGCACAAGGAGAGTTAGACTGTAGATTATGATGATGATTACTTGATGATCAATGTTATGCTACCAAATACAATTTGCAGTACAGTACAGTGCATGAGATTTTAGCACTGCTGAGCGACAAGAATCAAAGGTTAATGGGCTTTTGTAAGAAACACATTCCATAAATATAACCCCATTTCCAAAAAAGTTGACATGCTGTGCAAAATGTGAATATAAAAACAAAATGCAATGATGTGCAAATCACTTAAACCCTATATTTCATTGAAAATAGTACAAAGACAACACATCAGATGTTAAAACTGAGAAATTTTATTGTTTATTGAAAAATATATGCCCATTTTGAATTTGATGCCAACAACATGTTCCAAAAAGGTTGGAATGGGGGCATGTTTACCACTGTTTTTCATCAGTTTAACAAATTCTGTAAGCGTTTTGGAACTGAGGAGACACTGCTGTAGTTTAGAAAGTGAAATGTTTTCCTGTTCTTGTTTAATACAGGATTTCAGCTGGTGTACAGTTTGGGGTCTCATTTGTTGTATTTTTCATTCCATAACCCTCTAAATGTTATCCGTGGGTGACAGGTCTGGACTGCAGGCAGGTCAGTTTAGCACCCGGACTCTTTTAGTACAGAGAAATGCTGCTGTATTACATGCAGAATGTGGTTTATCATTGTCTTGCTGAAATAAGCAGATCCTTCCCTGAAAAAGACGTTGTCTGGGTGGCAGCATATGTTGCAAAAACATGTAGATCTGCATTAATGGTGCCTTCACAGATGTGCATGTCACCGTGCCATGTGCACTAATGCCCCCCTATACCATCATGAATACTGGCTTTTGAACTGTGCACTGATACCAAGCTGAGTGGTCTTTGGCCCGGAGGACACAGCGTCCATGATTTCCAAAAAGACCACAGGACACTTTTCCACTTCCCCTCAGTCCATTTTAAATGAGCTCTGGCCCAGAGAACGTGGCAGCTTTTCTGGATCCTGTTTATATGTTTTTTTTTTCTTTGCGTTTGGAGTTTTAACTTGCGTTTGTGGATGCAGCGATGAAATGTTTTCACAGACAGTAGTTTTTAGAAATGTTTCTGAGCCCATGCAGTGATTTCCACCACAGAATCATGTCTGTTTTTAATGCAGTGCTGCCTGAGGGCCCAAAGATCACGGCCAGCAAATACTGTTTTTTGGCCGTGTCCCTTGCATACAGAGATTTCTCCAGATTCTCTAATTCTTCTAATAATATTTTGTACCATAGATGATGAAAATCAGCCCCTCCTCATCTTTACTTCTGAAAGACTCCACCTCTCTGAGATGCTTTTTTATACCCAATCATGTTACTGACCTGTGGCCAGTCAGCCACCAGGTATTTTTTTTAGCATTACACAACTTTACCAGCCTTTTGTTGCTCCCGTCCCAACTTTTTTGGAACGTGTGGATGGCATCAAATTAAAAATGGGCATATTTTTCAAAAAACGATAAAATTTCTCGGTTTCAACATTTGATATGTTGTCTTTGTACTATTTTCAATGAAATATAGGGTTTAAGTGATTTGCACATCATTGCATTTTGTTTTATTTACATTTTGTACAGTGTCCCAACTTTTTTGGAAATGGGGTTGTATTATATGTTTGGTGATGTGCAATGATTGTGATGGTTGATATGAGTACATTACTTTGTTTAGTGTTATTATCTCAGATACTAGAAGGCAAAATAGCGGCGCATCACGATCAGATAACACAAACATAAGACTGATGTAAGCACATTCATTGCCCGTAGGAGGGTATGATGTACACTATGGGGGCTACAAGAGGTACAGATGTACACTCTGGAGGGCACAAGTGCCAGATAATGATTATGAATATCTTTTACTGTTAATTAAAGAAAACATTCACTACATTAAGGTGTTAAGAGCTTCACACTGTCAGCATTCAAAGGGAATATTCATTATGTCCATGATATCTGTGTTCACAGTAAAAGCCATGTTAGTATAAATGTCTTATCCTCGAATCTCTAGACCCATGTTGCCTTGAATGACGTTTTAGCGATTAGAAGACAAAGCACAATTTGATTAGTAGTAGTTCTATGTTTTGTATTGTAGATTCCTCTATATTTGATGTCAATTGTCAATGAAGTACAATACATTCGTTAGAGATTTCCTGTTATCCTCGATCCCTTAAATAAACATGCTAAGCAACAGTTGTCCATCTTACCTTTATAATGAGAATAATGCACGCGAGTGCTTGTTGAGTTTTCATGGAAAGTGTGCATGAGGTCCTCGGCAGCCTGGCTGCAATATGCAGGAATGTGGTCCCTGTGTGTGTGTGTGTGTGTGTGTGTGTGTGTGTGTGTGTGAATATGTGTGTGAATCTGAGAGAGAAAGTGAACTGGGACTGGGTATTGTAATGATGTATGAGTAGGTTTGTTAGAAAGAGTTTGGGGGGGTGCGGTTGCAGCCCTCAGGGCTGAAGGCTTTCCCCTACTCTTCCTCTGTCCCAAACTTATTCATCATTTCAACATGCCCTACTTGCGTTAAACATCATTAATTCTTTCAAGACCCTCACACTCCGCACAAACACATGCACACCTGTACACATACCCAGCCACACTGCAAAAATGGTATCTTGGCAAGTGAAATTATCTTAGATCTAGTCAATATATGTAATATTCTCATTTTGAGATTGTTGTAAGCTCAGATT